CCGAAGCCTGCGATGGCTCTACTAGTAGAAAGGCTTATATCGTAAATTGAAGTGAATTAGTCAATAAACCGACTAAAGTGCAAGCACATGCGATAGAGTTACAGGTAATACTCAAACGGAAAGACGAGTCACCAGCGCAAGCTCGATTCTTCGAAGCGGAAGACAAGACTGGTAGAGATATGTTCTTGTAAAACGACATAGAAGAACGTGCCCTTGAGTAAGGAAAAGAGCTAGGGGATTCTTTTCAAGGGCGTGCGGAATATAAGACGAGGATTCATTATTCGACACGAACTTGAAGGGGGACGAGATTATGAAGTGCGTGTCTGGAAAGTGAGCACAGAGCGAAAGCACTCCAGAGCTGAGATGGAAGCCGAGAATAAGAAAGGAGGCGTTGCGTAGCCTCCAGGTTGCTAAGCCAGACAACCATCAGAATCGGTCTTTGGCTGAACGGTAAGCTGGCCGCTGATATGGAGGAAACTCATCCATGCAAAGGCGACAAGGGCCGTAAGCAGGTGGCAGGGCATGTCAGGGTGACACCAGGAACCACTGCTCCAGAGGCACTAGCATTAACCATAACTGTATCAGTGACTGAGAAGCTTCCGGCTGAGAGCAGGGATGACATACTGTGGCCATGGCTGCGCCGACGAGCCAAAGGGTGGTCAGGATGATGAGGTCGTACCTCTCGGAGATGAACCAGCTAAGGATATGCACGATGTTAGTGAAGTGCGCCAAAGAATGCCAGAGGAGTTCAGGTACTTTGAAGGCAGGTGAGACCAGGGGATCGTTATAGCCGAAGTGACAATAAGCTCAGTGAGGACGGGTTCTATGAACCAGCATATACGTTTGCGTGTTAGGTATTTTCTATGAACCGCGCAGAGTCGCACGTACTAAAAAAGCTTTGGCTATCGTCCAAGGGGCCTGTGGACAAGTTGCGCAACGTGTAATGAAGCCCTGCACCACTTAGGCCGAGAGTCACTACAGCGAAAGGCCACTAAACGGCAATCTTAGAGACGAGCTCGAAATTCTGCGGATCAGTAGCGTGGCCACCAGTACTCACCACGGCTGAGCGAATGTTCAGTGGTAGGTCGTCCATTACTTGTGTAGATGGTGTCGAAGGGTATGAATACGACAGACGGAAGGCGAAGCATCCTCGTCCCGAGCCTATATACACAGCATAACTCGACGAGCACATGGTATTGCTTCTGGTAGCAAAGCAAATTGGACGCCGGAATGGTGGATGATCACCCGTGCCAAAAATGATCGAATTGCAGGCGCCATGGATAGGAGATAACGTCGTCCTGGTCATTATAAAATAATAGAGGTGGGACTATTACAGGCATCTACACGTTACAATCGATTTAGCTAGTTCATGTGCTCCAAATAGTTCGTTATCCGATCCTACTGGTTCATACGCGGTAGCTGGGGGCATAGCTCGAGCGCGGGTCGTACCGTCCGTGCATCGGCTGCTTGAATGCCCTGTTCGCAATGGAGAACATGACGCTGATGATGAGCAGGACAAAGACCATGATAAAGCTCATCCAGGCAAAAGCGACGAGGGCCGTGAGAACGCGGCACGGCAGGTAGATATGGCACCAAGCGAGGTTACCCCAGGAGGACTGCGGCTACCATGTCAGCGCTCAAAGTACTTCAGGAAGCAGGAAGGGACGCACCGTAGCGATAGCTGCGCCGACAAGCCAGAGAACGAACAGGATGAAGAGGCCGATCGTCTCGCTTAGGAAGGTGGAGACGATGCCGTAGTCGTAAGTGCGTGTTATGATGGAGACGCTGGAACGCGTACGACGTCAGTGGCGTGTGGCAAGGAGCGAGAAACTACTCAGGTACGCACACCCAAGGGACCCAGAGAACGGTTATGGCCGACGTGGCCAAGAGTTCAGCGACAATGGGGTCTAAAGGTGTAAGTAATAATTAGGATAAAGGGAGAACAATGTGATGGATATATAACGCGCACCATAGAAGTCAACGCCACGGTTCAGAGGGTCACCAGGAGGAATGTGCAGAGTATAGTGTATCCGCGCCGCACTCAGACCCAGAGTTACTGCCGCAAACAGCCACTACGATGGTGGCGTATGATCATGAGCTTGAAATTTCCAATGCTCGTGGAGTATCCACTTACCAAGAGCACATAGAGGAATACCCGGATGCCGTTGACAGTTGCCATGGTGTAGGTGGCTGAAGAGTGTTGAAGCGCAAGAGAGGGTAGAACGGTCGTATGTGAGTGTAACAAGCAAGCAAACGTAAGGTGTAGCGTCCGTAGCTTGAGCCTTTATATGCACCATGATTTCATAACGACAACGTGTTAACGGCGTTCCCCTGTGGAACATGCTGGAGGCGCCGCTGTGGAATCTTGGAGGATGACCGAAGTAAAGCATATCCGGGCATCGAAAGTGCAAGGATAGATGGTACGATGGTACGAATGAGGGTACCCTGGACCGCCTTTGGCATGTCGGGACGCACAGCCTTCCGCCCCGCCAACCAAAGAAAAACGTGGATCAGGGAACCTGTGATACGATTTCGAGACACATGTTCGCTAAAGGCACGGAGAAGTGACGAAATTATGCCCATGCTGAAGAAACGAGGAGTACTCGTGGCTTCCAGCCGTTGTCAGGAGTCAAAGGTCCGGACAAAACGGTCGTCACGGTGAAGGCTGTGAGCGATGGTTGATCAGCAAGTGCGAGTTCGTCGTAGTGAAGCACTAGATTTGAACCTCTTTACGCGGAAACATAGGTAAAAATATTTGTCGCTAGTGCATGATTTTGACTGCTACCTTTCATGAGAGTCATGGAGGAAAAGCATCGCTGAGCGCCACGATGCCACTCGGCCATCAGATTGATGCGCTGTTTTGATGCGTATTATCTCGACAAAGATGGAGGCGGCGGGCAACTATGCCTTGGCGTCTATGTATCTCTCCGCCAGCGACCACAACGTTGCGATCGGTTGCTGCCAGAGCTGCTCGCTCGAACAACGAGGATAAACTGTGTATCTTTCGTCCCTCGTACTGTGCTACTACCACTGCAGTAGGTTTGTCGTATTACTAGTACCTCGGCTCAGACGTCCTCACGATACTACAGAGTGGAAAATCTACGCCGCATTTCATGATACGACTTATTTGACATAGCATAACAGAATGTCCCAGCCTATATCCATTCCACCATTGATACCCCTTCCAGCCGAGACATCGCGGCGGCTCACGAATAACGACGCTAAAGACGACATATTCGCGACCTTGTTCTCCCCCGCGACGCCACGGGCATCCCCTACTTTGCATCCAGTTCCAGATGAACCAATAATGGAGATCGTCCGACCCCGGAACACAGAGCACTCTCGAACATCCTCCACCGATTCAGAATTTGGGTCATTCGTCTCGGTGCCGTCAACAGAAGACCCTCTTCACCAGCTTGGCTCTGACGCTGGTCAGCCCTTCTCGCCCGTCCGGAATTTTGAATTCTTTGACCGATTTGCGGAGGAGGCGAAGGCTGCTACGGAAAGGAATAAAAAGGGGGTGCTGGACGAGCTACTGCAACATGAGGATGATCCTTTATACTTCCTGAGAAGCGGTGCGCAAACTTTCGCTTAATTCCCGCCTCATGCTTAACCTTCAGACCCTCAGCCACGCCAACGGCCACGCAGCGCGCTCGTGATACTGTAGAAACCCTCTCGAAACCGGCCACGCCTCAACCGGATTCTGCTGCAGGGGAAGCATCAGCTTCGCAAGCATGCTTGAATTTCATCGACGATGTACCTGCACAACCCTTGATTTTTGATAGCGGGCAGCCGACACTTACACCTCAAGAGCCTCGCCCCAAGCCAGAGC